ACCTCATTCTTGCGTTTCCCCAACACAATTATTATGTAAAACGCTAGCATTCTTCTTTTAGTAGTTTCACATACGTTTCACAAAACATTCATGTAATTCTAACTGAACTATAACCATTCCAGCTATATAAATAAATTTTGTTATTGTTGTAGCAAGTTTTTTTATTATGGTTAGAAAAAGTTGGGTCTAGGAAAAAAATACCACAAATAACTGTTGAAGTAATGCATATTGAACATGGAAATCACATTCAGAATCAACCGATTCATGGTAACAATGGTCAAGAAGAGTAATCAAAACTATTAATTGAATACCCTAATTCATAATGATACATCAAGTCACGTCATCTGCAGAGTATGCAATTTAATTTAAACGACGTGCTTGAGGCAACTCAGTGGAACGCTTGGTTAACATTAACAGGAACAGTTGACCATATCAATTGGTGGAATATTAAGTTCAAGTCACATTCTGTTGATCGAAACACAGTTCATCGTTTGTTCATTAAATATTTTGGTAAATTATGGCAGATGTTTTGGTTTGTGCTTACGTAAAGGTCATCCTTGTTTGTTCATAGTAATTATTTTAGTGTTTAGAAATAATCGTACACAAATACACTTACCTTAAAATGTCAGTGATTAGTCTTTCGAAAACACGAGCAGTCACACCAAGCGATTCCAACTAGTGGTTATCCCTCCGAATTTTTTCGCATATTTGTGCAAATGGTTTTTCTAGTACACTAGCATAAATCAGTGTATTTGTGCAATATTGTAAGTACTTTGACAATCAAACTGCCTACCGGAAGGGATCTGAAATACCATTATTTTGAAAGTAACTAGGAAAGAACCGTAACGGAACTAAGATTTGCTGAACTAGTCAAAACTGTTGTCCCATACCCTGGAACCAATCGCAGATATAAAGCTGTTAAAAAGCATTTTCTTTAACAAGTTAACATAGATTTATATCAGAGACCATGGGCTTGGCTTTGTTAAAAGAGAAATGTTAAAAGCACAAGGACGAACTTCGATGGACAGATCTGCAACCTATTTTAACGTTGAGCAGACATCGAACTAATGTAGCATTTCGATTCTTTAATTTTCCTTACTGACACTAGCATGTGAAACTAAAAATACGTAATTAATTCAAAAAAAGGACCTCTAGATGCATTGAGATTTTGTGCAAACAAGTGCTTTCGTTCATGTGAGCTTGTTAAAAATGGTCCGGATTTTAGGGTCAAATTGCATCTGCTATCCATGTGGAAAACCACAAACGAACCCATCTACAGACTCTCTCAATTATTTATGTCGCTTACGTCTGTAATATTTGTTAGTAGATTTCGCTTAAATTTTTTCTACTTAGATAGTTTACGTTGAAAACCTTGCACAATTAATTTGTTGACAGTTTCAGAAAATGCTTTTAAAGATATCTATATTTTGTAAATAAATTTTGTAATTAAACCCTAAATTAAAAAAGAGTTGTAGTGAATTGGTTTCAAAGGCATTTCAATAAAAGCATGGCAATTCTCTCCGTTGAAACCATTGCGCGATCTTATAAGTCTGGTTTGAAAACGATAATGAGTTTAACCCAACTAAAAATGTTGACAGCTTACTATGGAGTGGGTTATTTATAAATAACATGTTTCTACTGGCAATTTTGAAAATGCAATTATCTGATGTAAAAAATAGACAGACGGAATACTTATTAGAGTTACTTATTACATGCTTTAAATGCACATTTTAATGAAAATGTAGGTATTTTTTCGCAGATTCACCATACAACTTTCGTGTTGATCACCTAGTTGATAAATAGGCTTTCACCTATACTCGATTTTCGAAATAATGAACTCATTCCTTGAGGCGGACTGTTTCTGACCCTTTTAAAAGTCTAAGCTGTTTAAGAATAGCTAAAATGCAAAAATAACTTTGTATTGCGCTCCTTAGGCCATGGACCTACTGCCAGGATGACCTAGACTAATTGAACTGTGGCCAGCACACGAACAGAACTCAAGTTTTTGGTTGGACAGGTTGAAGATGCCAAAATAATAAGCAAATGTTAAAAACTGTTGTGAATTGCGTTCATCCAAACTCGCTTATCCAATCAGTACAGCCTCCAACACAGGGTTCCCCATTTCGCAGCATGTCGCCAGCCGCGCTGATTCTCAACTCCCTCCCACATTAGCACGAAGAGTTATCCCGGATTACCCTCACACCCATGTCTAGACGTTAGCTCATCCATGACTCACACATTTAGGCTATGAATTCACACACGCAGACACAACGACACCAACGTGGATGAGCTGTAGAGTAAACGTTTGTGTCCACGTCCTCTTCGTTCTTTTATTCATCGCGCGCAGAAGGGGAACGTAATCGGGTCAGGTCTAACTCAGTGGGCCAGGCGTGGTTCAGGACCACTGAAAATATTTGAGCTACAAAAAGTCCAATTTTGCAGCTGACTGGACCTTTTCATTAACATCACCTCATGAATTAATGTAAAAGACTCGCGTTCTGCACATTAATGCGAATCTAAAAGACAGTTAAATAACAAATAGACATTGTGAATGGAATAACTCATAAATAAATGTCGCATAAGAAATTTCTTACAACGTCTCGACTTTGTCGAGATATCCTCCATGGAATATAATGTAAAGCATAATGGCATAAGAAAAGATCGTTGCCAGAGCAAACGTTATTGTAGTGAATCATGATTATTCCCTAACCTTTGCCTGCGCAAGTTCAATTTTTCATCTTTTTTGTTTTTTGTCGCCTAATGCCTCTCGGATTCAGGCCACCAACAGCCATCGCCTTGCTCCTCATGTACTCTGGTAATGTGTAAGATTTAAGGAAACTATTTTCTTCACAATCCCATCCTCTGTATGCAATTTCAGCAGAGAAAGTATTGGTACTACCAATTTTTAGCAAAGGTGAAAACACATAAATGAAAATTTGTACACAAGCATAAATTTTAGCTTAGCGACTTAGTAAACGGTCGAGGAACGTTTTGTTACCAAAACGTGTTTTATTGAACTTACACTCAAACTCATCACACTGCAATAAAGATTATACGAATTAAACTGCTCATAAATAGAAACCCCAGCCTTGTACGTGGTATTTTATGCATACATATTTAGAAGTAAATAACTAAAAAAGGCATGACTGGAGCCAATAATGAAGTCATTTTTGCGAAATGTTTCACTAGTGTCACCTGCCTGAAGCTGCCATGTTCATAATAAGTTGATTCCCATTTAATCTATTAAATATACAGTAGTCCTCAACACATTGAAAAGGGAAAGGTGAGGGCAAAACATTCGTCAATGTACTCGGTTGTCAGTGTCGCGTGAGCTTGCAAGATGAAGACTGACACTTTAATTCAAGTTGTCCAAGTCCAAAAGAGCCCATTTATTGGGTTGACAAGAGTTAAATACAAGAAGCGCGATAGTCGTTTTAAGCAAGATTCCTAGGTTCTGTTAAAATTACTTTAAAGAGGAGATTCTGCTACGGAAATTTAAGCAATTTTAGTAAAAACTTGATAGACTTTAGAAAAAAAATAAATCGACAAATTACCGGAGCTTCGTTACAAGAAAGTTTGGAAGCTTGGAAGAAAAAACTCAACAGTAAAGATCTTGCTTAGAAATCATTTCGATTTCGGGTAAAAAAATACATAAAATGAAGTGTCACTTAATTTAACTTTTAAATTCCTGCTCAATAAGTTCTTGGCAAGAAAGCAATTTTGCATCACACCAGTAGGCAGCTGTATATGTTATTAAAGAAACCCCATCACTGTTGTAAGTGCATCCATCAAAACCTGACATATGTCCAAAAGGCTTCGCTTCCAACTGTTTATTTGCAAAAACAAAGGTTCAGGCAATTTTATACACTTTAGAGCCATAATTTTTAAATTGAGGACAAGGTAAGCCTAGTGAGGTGACGAGGCTGGGAGTGTTAACAGGAATGATTCACGAGGTTATGAAAAGAAACAAAAAATGCTATAATCCCAAGTAACCTACGCCATTTTTCGAGATGAATAATATTTAGGCTGAATAAAATGTTCAACAACAACCACATCAAATAATATACGCCTAAGTATTTGCTTATTCGTTTTACTGTGGACTTCTGCGCATCCCGATAGTTGTAAGCTAAGGGTCTAGCTGACGAAATAAAGGTAAAAGGAGGTCAGCTCTACAGTGAATAATAAAATAGAGTGTGTTAGGCTTGGGTCTGAAGGCTACCCTTGCAATTAAATAATCAAAAATACCAATCTAAAACGGAAAGGCGCTATATTGCCTCCTTCTTTAACATGTTACCAACAAAAGAACAAGCGTGTGAAAATTTAGGTCAGAACGCTACAGAAATCAGACTTCAAAATTTAAAGTTATTAGGTATACCAATTGTGTTAAATATGGTCAAGCATACGTAATAATGTAGTGTTCAGTCATTCAATTGACTACACCATCAATCCAGTGTAGGGGCCTTTGAAAAAATCTTGAAGTATTTTCAGATTAAGATGATTAACCGGTAATCATCACTAAAGTAAAAATGTAGAGCATCATTAGTGGCAAGTTCTACCTCACTGTAGGTTAGGTTATATAAAGCCATCAATAATTGGGGATGACAGGTGTGGTATTGTAGTTACCATAATCACCATTGAGTACATTTTTATAGTTGTTATTGTCATGCAAGTGATATCAGTTGATTTTAGTCGGGCTAGCCAGACATGGAAGCATGTCTATAGCTGTAATCTCCAGTAAATATGATTGATATTCCCAAAAGAACTTGCCTCCATTAAACCTTTGCAAATTTATCATTGCCAATCATCTCCACGGTTTTAAATCACTTTAGAAAAACCTAGAAATTAAACTAATTAAAGTTTTAAAACGTTGCCAAAATCTAGAGGAAAATTGCAAAGTGCAAAAGTGATTTGATAGCAAGCTGGGTGGGTGATTTGTTATTATTTATTAATAAATTGGCGGGTTGTTTTTCGTGTATGAACCTCCAGTGGGAACTATTTTCATGGATTCAATTCGCCAGACAGTAAGCCGCACTGCGCTTGGGCTAGCTGAGTACATTACTCCTGTTCTGAAAATATCAAAATTTCGAGAAACCGGGGTCATTACGCCTGCGGAGTTTGTTGCTGCTGGGGATTTTCTTGTTCACCACTGCCCGACATGGCAATGGGCAGGGGGAGAAGCTAGTAGAGCACGGTCGTATCTACCCTTAGATAAACAATACCTGTGTACCAAAGGAGTACCATGTTACAAAAGGGCCAGTCAATTGTTTCGTGGAAATTCTGACCCTAGTCGTATTCTGGAAGAAAAAGAAATTGATGGCGGTTGGGTCGACACAATTTTCCTTATTGATGGCGAAAGTAAGTGATAAAAAGAAGTTTCAGTCTTTTTAAAATAGCACTTACAACACTCTTAAATCTTTTTTTAGAGAATGACTCTACTGTAGAAGATACGGAATCAAAGGTAGAAGAATCAGAGTCTTACCTGAAAGAGTCGGAATGCAGCATCGAGAATGAGGATGATGATGAGGAGGAAGCTGAGGATTTGGATGCCTTTATTCAAAGTGGGATGCTTGACGAAGTTAGTTAAAGATAATATAATTGCAGTATGTTTTGCTTTGGCTTTAATCGATGTAACACCTGTCTGCTCCAAGGAGTTTTTTGTGAGTTCTTAGCTAGTGAAATTTTCAATTTTACTTATTTTGTATGGAAATAAAGTCATGGGGATTTAGTCTGAATTTGGATGAGCACCATAACCTGTCAATCGATCTATCTGGTTTCTCTTCAAATAGGCTGATCCGCGGGCCGTATCAGATAGAATTCGCCAACCCCAAAATGCGTCTTTGTCCAACTCCCGAAAACTCGGGTCCGGTAGTGATGGAATCCTCCAGACGCGGACATATGATCTTTACATCACTTATGATAAATATTATCAAACAGCTCGTTTCTTTCTCACTGGCTACGACGAACAGCACAGACCTCTTTCGGACGCACAGATGTACGAAGACTTTAGGTAATTATAAGATTCCATATCATGTGCTTTTGGCTATATTTAACTCTCAATTTCTGCGTATCGATAATCACAACAATATCGCTAGATTTTTTAGGCGTTTGTAATGGGCGTAAACATTTCAGTCACTATTAGCCAGTTTTAAGGTAGACTCGTTAAGCGTGTGCAAGTTTTTGGCATTTGTTTTGGGTAAATTAGCAACAAAGTTAATTTTATATAATGACTATTTTACCATTATTGCATTATATAAGTTACAAGGCCTCTGAACGGGTTGGTATTTTTGCTGTAATGCATACCTGGATATATTTCTTACAATTTTCGGGGTGCTTGTAGTGAATTTTCATCAGACGAGCACGAATGTAGCTTAGTCACATGTTGGTTGAATGTCACCGATTGTTGATCACATTTGACGGTCGATATTCACTAAAGCACTCTGATATAAAAGACTTGAGTGGTCCAATGTAAAACACGATTATATTCGCTATCATCCGTCTTGCCTCTCCCCTGGTTGTTACAGACTGTTAACTATTGAGGTTTTAACGTAGTGCTAGCGATGTCGTTGCGCACAATTATAATGGGAAGCGTCTTTTCATTTTGACATGTCTTCAGGAAATATTTGTGGGTCATTTGAAGGCCTTTTCCCGTCCATTTACGCATGAATTCCACTCTTATTTAGCTTGCAAATTACCCTATGACTTATTAAACAGTCGTCCACTTTCAACTGTTTTAATTTAAGTGCTGAATTCCTCGTGAAGTCAAATTTCAACTTCCGAAAGTCTTATTTATTAACTTACAATCAAGTTAATTCTCCCCTACAGTCATTAGTGTACTTTCCCACTTTTACCTTCATATTGATTGTATGTATTGGATAGCAGTAGAATACCACAATGATGGGAAGTTTTTTTGTCCGTTAGCTGTGAAGGTTTATGTGTCCGTTTTTCAGCCAGGACCACGCGAAAAAGACGATCACAACCGAATCCCATCCGCACCTCTCTGGAGCCCCAATGCCCTCGATTCATCCTTGTCGTCAGGCGGAATTGATGAAGAAGCTCATGGATATGATCGAGTCGTCTGCTTCTGCCGAAGGAGAGGGACCTAGGGAACAACTTGGAGTTCACCAGTACCTTATAGTCTTTCTCAAATTTGTCCAAACAGTCATTCCGACAATCGAGTATGACTTTACTCAAAATTTCAAGATCTCGTGAATTGGGACCCCTACATTGATCCTTCCTGCCTCAACGATTATTCTTATACACAGACCGATTATTGTCGCCCTCTTAAAACCTGCCTTCCTATAATAGAAGCTTCTTTTGCCATTTATGTCTTTTGAGGAGTGCTTGGTCGTAATGCACTTGCTCGGGCGATAACCAAATCTCTGTGACTGATCCATTTCTAAATGTTCTGTTGATAGTCGTTGTATTCATTCCACCCTTCCTTGATGCGGATGTATATAAAATGTTTCTTTGTTAGCTTTTTCATCCTTTAACCGAGCGTCTCTCAGTGACTTTACTCCCGCATGTACATCTTGCCGTTGAGAATTGTCAAGTTGTCTAAGACCGGACACTACGCTTCAGTATTTGTGGAATCCTATTGAGTGATTAAAACCGTCTAGGTCAATATTCAGAATACACCAATTACAAGTGTTTGCCTTCGATATAGAGGAATTAGTTAAAAAAGGTCATCTGTTGCAAATTAACTCATGCGCAAACACCCTTTGCGGTTACCCGAGCATCATTGCGTCAAAACGAGGCAAATACTCTTAGTCTGGTGTCATTGCGACAGATATTATGCTTTCTCGTTTAAGATTATACATTTATCGAAATATACGCAATTTTATCTAGCCTTGTTATAATTGACTTTTTCTCTGATCTGAATGCGTTTTCTACTTACATAAGCTGTTAGTTCCTGTTTTATTCTCTAGGATTTGGAGCCTGATAGATTCTTAGGAATTACGGAACTAGCGGTTAATCTAGTGACCTGCGAATCTCAGTCAGATTTGCACTCCTCAAATGTGGTGAGTTTGGACAAATTTTACAACCACGGTTAAACATTGCCAGAATTGTCCATTGTTCGTAATACTGGTCAGTAATAGGAATGGACTGCTGATTCAAATCCACTGCACTCGAGTGTTCAGAAAGTACACCTTTTTCAAAGCTGCTCCGATTTATCACGCGCAGTAGTTTCCAACTGTCACCGCATCCTGAGAAACTAGCTTGCTTCGTCGGTTGGGGCGTTGAAACCTTACTGCTGAAATATTCTAAGTAGCAAACATTCCCATTGTTCTACTATTTAATGTGGCCCCTTCAGATTCGTCTGCGGTTTGTTCTAAAGCACTAAGATGTGGGCTTGATCCATTTTGAGAAAGGCTGGATTTTCATTTCGACCTAACGCCTTACTACTGTTGTTATTTGAGAACTGGCTGAGTCTGCCAAACCAAACTAATTTTTTTTTTCAAATGACTCACTGTTTTCCTGGAAACGCCAGCTGGCACCTCTCGCGAAAAGTATTCTGTCACGCCTGTGTATATGGTAGCCATGTTTTACCTTGGACAAAATCGAGGCAGATACGTTCCGAACGCCAGAGTCTATTTTAAAATATTGTTTTCATGTTAAGATAATTGGTGTCACACATTCGAGTTGGGATTACTCATAGGCCTACTTTGTGTAGTGGTCGCTATTCCCCGAAATTGCTTTCACCTCCTGCTGTGTTTAAATCACGCCATATGCGCTCAAATGAGCCTCACCAATGTAGCAGCTAGTGGCCTCGTTGGTGAGATCCAAACACGCAGAATTGGCTGCCGCACCGAGTAGTTTACGCTCCACGTGACCTTCACATGCATCGATGCACTTCTAGTACACTTAATAGTAAACTAATCATAGCTTAAGCTACGCAATGAGCCGAAATGCATGCATCGTTGTCAAATCACAAACGCCTCGACTTATTTTTATCAATTTTCAGTTTAAAAGGTCAGACACCCCTGTGAAGTAAACGGATGACTCGATGTTTTAGTGAGAGGTCAATTGTGCCAGTGTCAAAGGTCAACACAAACAACGGCCAAGTCACTGCAAACAACGTGTTCATAAATGAAGTACATGAGTTTTGTACAAAAGCAGATTTTGCGAAGATAATTCGACATCAAAGACTCGTTAACTAGGACAAATTAAGATTGTAATAGTCTATATTTTTGTGTGGTATGCGCACTCTTCTTCTCAATACAGTCGTGAAATATCAAACTGCTAAAGGGTATGAATGCCACAACGGTGTACGTGAAATAACTTTGAAGTGTCGTGCAAAATTTAGTTACAGTTTCTTTCCTAATAAAGATTGTCGTACTGCTACCAATTTAACCTTTGAAATTTGAAAATCGCGAAATTCCTAACCGTAGACATCAAACATAAGTTGCTAGCTCATTAGCACACGTGCCAGAGAGTACCGATTGAATCGTTCCTTTGTCTTGCCATAGTTTGCGGCTTTGAATAACGCTGACACGAGGTCCCGGCTAGGGGAGAGTCAAATATACCAAGGATGTGTACCTTGCTTGTTGTAAACGGCTGTGAGGTTTGAACCTCAAGTTTTAATCGAAGGCATAGCAAAGCTCCTTTCCTGCAGTTTAAAATTGAAAATTTTTGTGAACATTTACTTTATCAATTGAGCAGCAGGTGGTGTTCCGGCTGAATTCGTTGATTTTCATGAATATGCATTGCTTGGTTGCACACAAAGCCGCATCTTGAAAAATGGTGAAGACTGTCAATAGGTTGTCACGGCGTGGGTGCTGAAGGCGAACAGGATATGCAGCATCGATGTTGTTTTTGTTTTGTGGTGAGCAGCACACGAACGAACATGATTCAATTGATTTACGTTAATGAACTTCACCTAACTATGTTCGTTCAGGGATCGACGTTTATCAAGGCTATGTAAATGTACTTGTTATCTTGTACATGCACACACCGCTGCATCAACAAATTAGTTGAGCTACGAGCCGTTCGCATTTTCTGCTCTTTCGGTCGGGCCCTGTCAGTGTAGATTGTCGGCCCTGGTGTGGTTTCTAAAACCGCACCGGGGCCCACTACAGTTTCATAGGCTTCAGCGCGTGACACCCGGTCTATGCCAGTGCGTGGATTGGTCTTGCAATCCCGTGGTTTTGATACAGCTCATCAAAACTCAAGGGATGGTGAGGAAGCAACACGATGTGGCGTACGCAATCGTTGATTCACCTGCCAGGCATGACGTGTACACTTACCTCCTTTCAGATCTCTGTGTGAATGTTTGTTACCGGCCTTCTGTGTAAGCCAATGAACCGTTAGGGGAGGGCGAGCGAGTAATCAGTTTAGATGAGGCTGTTCGAGCAATCCTACACCGATAAGCCTCTTCCGATAAACCACAAATTAGTCTATCCATGGCACTGTGTGAGATATGTCGCTTCTAGTCCTCCATTTCAGTCTTGGAAATAATACAAACGTGAGCCAATAAACTTGTCCTCTGTAGTATCCCTGCTCACTTGTCCGAAATCGACAATGGTTTTCAAGATTTCGTTGCTCATGTCTTGAACTAGCCCCTTTTTAGCCTAGATTTTCCATTGATTTAATTAGCGTTTGCTGAAAGTATCGTTAAATTTTCCTGTAGAATTCTGAATCGGAGTTGAGCAAACCGGAAACGTTGACTAACACAACAAGTACCCCATTGTCAACAACTGTGAATTTGTTAAATGAGGAAATGGTGAGCAACGATAACCCTTTTTTATTATCACGCTCTTGGTAATGTGACCATGTTACAAGTATATTTCTATGATAATTGGTTGCTCTCTATTTGTATGGAAATAGGTAGATTGCGGTGAATAAAAGCATGGACGTTCGTGTGCAAATATTTTCTTTATAACCTCGCGCCAATTAAACGCATCATGCGTCAAGTGGCATGCATTTTTACCCTATAATGGCTGGGCTACGGGATAGTTAAACAATATCTCAGCCTCACAAACCCCAGCGCACCAAAACAGTTCTCTAGGCGAGGATGTTTCACTGTTGCCTGGCAATTCAAACGCACAAGTTTTCTTCTGCTTGCTATTGTGGGAAGCTTAATTCTTCAACCTATTGTCTGGTTTGGACGCATTTTAGTTTGATAATAAATGGCTAAATGTTTTTTTTATGGACAACGCTTGTTTTGCAAATCTATAACGTCCTAACTTCATCTCAATTTGAAAAGCATTGCAGTGAGCCCGCAGTTGGTGCATCGACGTTACCAGTTGTTGCGGAAACCTCATCTTCAGGGGACACCGCGCCAACCCTTTCACGTGACAATTCTTGTGCTAGCCTATCGACGGGAGGAAAAAGGAAGCAAGTTAGCCGAAAATCAACTGCCCCGCTCCCCTCACACCATGCCACTGCCGTTGCCAACGAACTGGGTAGACTCAAGTTCATTAATCCTGGCAAACAGAATGAAAATCTCACAATCGATTGGGATCACGGAAGTCTCACCAGGGGATTCAAGCGCCAACTTACGCAGCATACGAAAATTTCCGATCCTAGGTAGGTCCTTTCCGCTGGACAATCGCCAATACCACGTCAGATTTCCATTGTATGATCTGGGTTTTCGACCGCCGGTTTTCGTGGAGTGATAGCAAATGTAGCACTGCGTTACTCAATGCACCTGAACCATCTACTACGATTCACAATGACTGTTTAACTATTTGCAATTATGTTAAGTTATTTATAGCATGGTAAAAATCTCGTAATTTTCATTGTGTACTGTCTAGTTTTTCTCCCATGACGTATAATTAGGCTGCAGGTTATTCTGAGGGGTATCAAGAAAGTTTCCAAATTAAAGCACATTTTGTTTTCGGAAAGCTGAGTAGACTTCTTTCGGCACTTATCGGCACACGAAAGTCACATGACAAGCGCCTGATGACGCACAATGTGAATCCGAAACTCTTTTGATCGCTAGATTTGGAAAGCTTTCGAAGGATACACCAGTTTAGGGCTGATCGGCGCATATTCTCAACCACGGATACTAAGCAATATCGAAGAATAGGAAATAATTTTTTTTTGAATTTCATAATTTGACAGACCGATTCCAGGTATTGTGTATTTCTCGTAACAACTATTTTTTCGGAAATCTGCAGCTATCCAAAATCGGTTTTGGGATGTAATGACAATGGAATGTAATCATCTTCACACAAATTCTGCAAAAATAAGTTTAGGCTAGAGGATAAACTGATAATTGTTGCGTGAATTAATGTAGAAAACACAAAAAATGAACACCTTAAATAATCACAAATTAGAATTTCAACCACTTTCGTGTGCCATGAATGTGCACGCCGGGTAACTTCGACACATCTCTTAACGGTTCTTCGGAGCTGAGGTAAAATCAGCCTAACTTTGTGACTGCAATGTGCGTAACCTCCAGACACCAGCCTTCTGGTTATTCTTTCTACACCATGTGGACACCCTCCACATTTTCACTGTCGTTACAGGACACAGGTTTATAGTTTTTAGACCAAATGGCTATTATTATTATCATTATTATTATTATTATTATGCAAGATGACCTTATGCTGACACGGTTGAAAGAAGGTCAGTGACACCGCAACGTCGATATCTTATCAAATTCTACGTTTGTCTGTTACTTCTTCACTCTCTCCTCGAATCTGCACGGCGAACAATGAGCCACGAAAGCATGCCACCATCAACCACACATCGCTATGCAACGCGTGAACTGGTGGGGTGATTGGGCCACACAAATGACAGTAAATTGTTAAGACCGAAGAAAATTGGCCACATGTGCCTCTGAGGTATTTGGTTACCTCACAGGAGCGTACGGTGCAACTTGCTGGTTGATTTTTTGCTAGAAACGACAGCGCTCACTGAGGAGGCTGAAGAGCACGTCTTCGTAACATCCAGCGATGGACCTCAATCTTAGAACTTGGTCCTTTACGCACGATTATGGCCACCAGAGTATGGTTTTTTGAGCTTCGATCAGCAAAATCGTAAATCAAATCAGAAAAAAATGCTGTTTCAAGTTAAAAAGTTCGCGACCAACTGCGGAAATAGACCAACGAGTACTCTGGTGTGGCGTCATCCAGGCTGTTCAGGTTGAGGTTGTTATTGCATCCCGAAATATTAATTGGCGTCGATATTCATAGTTCTAGTTCCAAATAAATTTGTTTTCTGCTGAAAATCCATAATTAATTCGATAGCGTGATAAAGGCGTTTTGTACTAGGTTTGGAGGTCTGTCGTCTTCTTCGGCTGCGACAGAACTGGGCCGCCTACGATTCAGTAACCCAGGACGCCAAAACACCGATCTCGAGCCGATTAACTGGACGCAGGCTGGCGTCTACATGACTCGCGGGCATCGACGGCAAATGGTGCTTCATGCACAACTGTGTGATGCTAAGAGGTATTCTCCCACCTTTAAATGGTGTCGTGGACTAAGTTAAGCGAACTTGGCTTTATCTTGTAGCTCCGATCCCCCGATCTATGACTCAAGAGGCTTGCTTCTCCCGAATATGGTCGACAGGTGCGACTGTATGCGTCCCGGCTGTGCTGGCTGTTTTTTGCCTTGCAGGCGCTGCCACACTACTAAATGTGGTCCGCTCTGTCGCATTACACGCAATTTCCATTACGAACAGGTGAGTTTACAAAGTGTCGTTCACTCTGTCTTGTGGCTTAACCGTCTTGCTCCGTTTTGAGCTTCATATTCGTGCCATCGTGCATCAATTCAATAAGAGGTCAGACGTCGACCGCTGAACCTGCTTTTGCAATCTGATAAGCGGTATAGCTCTGAAGTGGGTACAGGCTACTACTACTTATAAAATTGGTTTAGACTTGAATTAAGTTGAGGTTTGGTTGTGCCTTCATCTAAAATCTGCCGCGTCTTGCATTGCTCGATCTGGCATGAGCCTCAGCTTCTCCAAAGCCAACATTGGTGGTCTGCTTACTTTGAGTATAACCCTAGTCGATAGGAAATTAAGCCGAAATCATTGTTAGTTGTTAACTTAAATCATGGATTTGATTTACCAAACTTAAGGTGAACGCCTGGAGGGTATTATATTGCCCTCCTTTGCATTCCAGATTTATTTTTTTAACTGTTTTTTTTTATAATTATTTGTCGCGAAGAGTGATTTACTATTTAGATGCTAGTGAAACGAATTTTTCGCTGATTCCAAATCCGTATTTGTCTATCCGCATATTCCGTCGCCGTTGTGTGCAAAGGCATTCTGATGTTTAGGTGTCGTCTGCGGTTATTATTCGCATCTTCCTTAATTTTTTTTATCAATACTATCACCATGGGAGTGCGTAGGGCCTTTGCCGCGAGTCATTTTCAGTGTTACCCATAATGGTGGAGAGTGGATATGTATGATCTGAAATAGTATGTCGTTAATGCGTACCTGACGTGTCTCTTGACGGAGGCCACATCATTATTAAGATGTTTTTCTGTTTTTATTTTTAGGCGGAACTGTATATTTAGGACTCATGTATCCACGGTGCTATCGGCGCAGCTTTGGTGAAACCTAATTTTTTTAAAAAATATAACTCCCCTAATTTTTACACTTCAGTTTTTGCAAATTTTGATAAAGAAGGTGTAGTAGTCAAAAACCTCAGCCACTTTGCCTACTTCTCTATAAGATTTTTGGGAGCAATATTCTTGCTTTTCCTTGAAAATCCTACTAGTCGGTTTAGTAAAAGCGAGTGATAATAGTTCTCATCTGAACCATGTCGGCGCATTGTAGCTCATCACTTGTGCGTGTTACATGTAGTTTCTGTGCAGTTGTTTCTTCAATGCGGTATGAAAACCTTGGTCCATAGTACTTCATATCTACCAATTTGTGTTTTACGGTATCCAGTGTGAGTTGGCTTCGTCGAAGAAAACCTCACTCAATGCTTCAATTTTCTTTATCTGTAGTGGCAATATCGATACCCGTGTGCTAAATGAATGGGGAATTACTATGCAAATGATGTTTCTAAATTTGGCAAGAAGGGGGATCATCAGTCTACAGATGTATCATGTTATCTATCGCTTTTGTGTGTATGAAATATCAAGGTAGGGTTGTGAATCGTGTTTATTCACACCATTTAATCCGGTCGCTCCGACTCCGACCCAGGGTTCCCCTTTTCGCAGCATGTCGTCAGCCGCGCGAATCCTCAATCCCCCCCCTCATTCACACTATTTATCTTAGATTATTCTCACGCCTATGTCTCGATGTTAGCGCATCTATGACTCACGCACGCAAACCCCACACATGACACAACGACATCAGCGTGGTTGAGCTTTTGAGTAAACAGTTGTGTCCCGTCCCCTCCAGTCTTTTTCTCCATCGCGGGTATCAGGCAAGCGTAATCGGGCCCGGCGTGGTTGAGGCCCACATGCTGGGGCCCACAACATGCTAAATATGTCTCCAGTTCGACAATCTACTGTAAGTAAATGAAATAGGAGCAAGAAAATCTGTGGATTGCGTTTATATCATAAGATTTTTGTTTACTCCAGACATTAAATGTTGATGCGTGTTAATATAAAAATGGGTGTAGACTTAAAAAAAATTGTGTGGCGACATTATCTCGATGGCAATTTTGTCTTAGTGATCTTACGCAAAACGAGTAGGCTGAATTAAATTTGTATGCCTACTTTACGCTACATTTGCCTAGATGCACTTTGTGAGGAGCCTTTATTTTACGTAAACCAATGCCGCGTTAATGCCATAAACAAAACATTTGGATATCAAATGGTATTTGATTGATCATTGTCAAGTTTTATTATGCTGACACAAAAGGTTTTCTCGTCATAAATCGGGGCAACCACATACATACAATATTTAAATTAGACTAATCGCATTAAGGCAAAAATCTGCATAATAAATAAACGAAAATTAGCCGCCTTAAATGGTTGAGAATTATTCCTGCACGTGATCCTGGATTGAATTCTAAATGCGGATAAACTGTCCTCTCAAAGATGCCTCCAGGACAATGATACACTCAATTATTAAACAGCGTTCTTGTGAATAAACTTTAAATAAGCTTTCTTGGAATATATTCAACTAACTTTTCCCAAGCACATTAGCTAACGACAGTGATGTGACCAAAAATGCCATATGCAGATTAATTGATCGGTTTAGTCCTCCACATATCTTTCATTATCCCTGGTTCTGTTTCGTTTGACGCATTTTTAAAAAAAAATCCTATTTCATGTACGAAAAAATGAATAGCAAATCGAAAATGACATCCCATATTGAAATAATGCATGCTTTGTAAATGTTACTTCATAAGTTGAAGAGTTTCGTGGATTGTTTTGATGGCAAAAAATATAACTACACTTTTAAATTCGTTACAAGAGCAGTTTTAGCACCGTAAAGGTCACCTTTATTTACATTTGTTATAATAGGTCTCCTGCCTCTCTTACATTATATTTAATGTTATTCACTGCGACTGTTTATTGGTTTCTACATTTTCACCCAATTAAATTAACGAAATCTCTCGTGAATATAGATCGGTTTGCGTGCGCGCCTAATGCAAGCCTGTCGGGCTCCGTTCCCTGCTTTACACGTGCGTTTTATTATATGAACTGTGTAGTTTTTGAGGCATTTTCTTTACTATTTGTGAATACTTTTTGCCAGTTAGGTGTAAATATATATATCTACATGTATAGTCTTGTGGATCCCGCCTTCAAGCAACTTTGAAAAATTGGTTCACTTGCCATAGTCGTTATAGTATATGCAGTAATCCTGGCGATGCGCACCGTACCTCCACAATTAAAATCCTTTTTCGACTTTTATATTAGCTAGCACGGATGGGTCATGGGCTGTCTTCGTTTGTTGTATTTCTGTCACAATTGAAGCTTTAAAACGAATGAATCTACTTAGCTTCTTTTCATTTGTGAATCACTTTTCAAAAGAACGAATTTCACTGATTTATCTTTGTCATCGTGTGATGCAAGTTACTATATAAGCGGATGTTATGACTAGTAGTCTCGACTTTTTTGCTTGTTGCTGAACTGTTAAATTTTTTAGATCGTTCCCAAAAAATCCACTTTAAATCTAGTTTTTAATGGAATGGTTTGTCTTTTCGGCGGTCGTACGTCTTATTGGTATTCCTATAGAGTGAGTTGTAGATAAACTGGTGCTGGAGCTCCGGTGTAGTCCTTATAAGCTATTATCTTCCTAAGTTGTTTTTTTGCGTGCATTTAATCTCGCATTCGGCAGTTTATGTTCGTTTTAAGGCATCTAAGCCGTAGCACATGCACTCTTTCAAAGTCAAATATCGCAATTATTCACTTTACGGGTAGGTTCTAGTGGAACATCGGTGGATTCCCTCAAGTTGTGACCCCTTAACCACAATGGTGTCGAACTTATTAATTTTGCTTCTTCGGAAATAAATCTTACCTTGTGCATATCCCCTAGAAAATCGCTGTGGTTGTATTAATGTCATTCACTATTTAGACAATCTAAAATAAATCTGCGCAGTTGATTTCACCGTGCCCTTTTGCTAGAATGCCCGTACTTGACTTGCGATCCTGTTATGGTATTTCTTCTCACATACAAATGTAATTCGCAAATCGTAGTGACACTTTAAACGTCAATAATATTTGGTCTGTTTCAACTCTTATTTAGGCAGTATTCCACACTCGCCAGTCAATGCATCATTTAGTTTTCTTGTATTTTTTTGTAAACAGCTTACTAAGTTAGTACAGCGACTTCGGCCAAACAAGGCTAGTGACCTAGTTCAATGACTGTAACTCTACACCATTCGTGGTTGCCTTGTGTGCACGATGAACTAGTTCACTGGCTCTGTCTCCATTGATTTTGTTTCTTGAACTGACTCATTCTTCCACATATTCTGTTCGTATTTTTATTTTTCAGTTCAGTTATAAAAACCCTCGTCTTCATTTTAATGTTGTATTGTGAAATGATTGTGTGTTCACGTATGCAACCGTTGTCTATGATGGAAGTAAACGTCACTGTTGCTAAGTTTCACCCGTTGGGCTCACAGTTGCACTTCTTATAAGTACACTCTTTTGGCTACAGGTCACGGTTTTGACCTGAAAGTACATGACACCTGATCAATACCACAAGACAAGTTTTCCCGCTTAAAGTTCATTGCAACCTTTTCGGTGTAGCAAGTAGGTCGTAATAGGGTCTAAGTTTTTTCAAGTAATTCTTGATCTAATGTGTTCAGTTTAATGCCATCGGGTTTTCACGCTTCTCTCTGTAACTTCGTCGTTGTGTATTTGTTGTTCTCACATCGGAATGCACTCATACTTCTTGCCAAAACTAAAAAGTCAAGTTATGGAGTTCATTTTTTGTTAGTAAGGTTGTTAATGGGATTTCATGCAATGTTTCATCAATCAAATTTATCAGGTTACAAATTGCCGTATAACCAGCTCTTGATCCATCTGAACTATCACATGGAATACCTGCGTCGAATAAAGTAGCTGGTCTTTTATCTTTTCTAATGTGCCCCTAGGATATGCATTACATCTCTGGTTGATTCGTTTTTCAGTCAGACGTCGTTATGGGTAATACATTTTCACCCCTCGGTGACTGATTTGCTTTTTTTCGGAGCCGTTGCCAGCCAAAACTTTTGACTATAATAGGATTTCCCCGTTCAATGATTTTCTTCTATTTTTCATGTAGTTTACATCAGCAGACAAGCTGTGTGTGGAACATGAAACACCAGATAGTACCCACAGCGGTCACAGCTGCGGTGACAACTTCACAAACTGACTGTGTTGTGTCCTCACCGACACCTGTTCAGTTTGCGGACCATCCTTCACTCCCTGAAAGCCCCCCACTTCCCACCAAACATCATCCAGCCAAGATGGTCAACCGTCTCAAATCCTTAGTGAGTAAAAAAAAGAAACGCTTTCAGGCCGACGGCTTCGACTTAGATCTAAGCTACATTTCTTCACGCATAATCGCAATGGGATTTCCTGCGGAGCGTATTGAGGGGCTCTATCGGAACCACATCGATGAGGTTTCTCGGTTTTTTGAACAGAAACACAAAGGCCATTACAAGATTTATCATCTGTAAGCTTTCATTTGGGCCTATGGTCGATTAACTTGTTTAGACTTAGCCCCAACTTAGATTGTTTAGGTTTCAGTTAGGTCGTCGAACTGTCCTACTGCATATCATTTTAGCGTGAAGTTGTGTTCCGTTTTTGTCGTTTTTCGTCTTGTGGAGGCTGAAATTGCGCTTCTTTACTTGTACTGCCGAGGAGTCACATCACCCCACCACAATTCATTTAATCATCACTTTCCATCCCAAAGTACTTGGTCGATTCTGCACAATATTATTTCGTCTACGTCTGTCCAGATAACGGATGACAGAACAATCTGAATATCTTTTTTTTTAATATCGGAAGTTGGGCTCCTTTCGTTACTTCCGCATTACTTCCATTTAGCTGCAATGAGAGGGACTTTAATGCCTACCGCTTCTCCGGACCGGTTGTCCGCTACCCCTTCTCCGACCACAATGCCCCTCAGTTCGGACAAATCCTTGCACTCTGCAAAGACGTCATGCAATTCCTAAACCAACATCCAGAAAACGTCGTTGCTATCAACTGCAAAGCTGGAAAGGTTAGATGTTTTGCCAACGTTGTAACTTAAGCCCATTTATTGATTTGTTGATCCTTCTGCGGGAATTGAATAAGGCATAATCTAACACTTGTTTCGCTTTCTTATCCGTCATTGCGATGAATGTCTTCTACATACCAGATCCAGACGTTGATCTCGTGAGTCTACAATTTTTCGGAAGTCATCCTCTTAAATTTCGACCTTTTATGGAGTAGTCGATGGCATTTGCATTCAAACAGTTCTTAACGGTTTGCAAGGGTATGCCATTGTATTATAAAATCTAATTCAACATTTCTAATGACCTGTACGTTGCTCTGATTAGAAGAAAAGAGTGGTGTGGTTAGTCTGAAAGTGAGACATGAATCTCCTGCTATTATTCTCTGTCACTAACGGGCACTGGCACCATTTGTGTATTTGACTGGAATTTTTTGCATGCGCATAAAACGTTTTAATCACCTCACGATTTACGTTTCGTTTGCGTGCGCCTGTAATTTCCTTGCTAAGCCAGGTCGGTGCTCACTCGAAATACCGGTTTGATGTGGCCTCTTCGATGTCAATTTTTATGGTAACAGATGTCAATTCTTAAAGACACAATTGTGTCTTTGGGTACAGTAATAAGATGCCTAAAGCAATCTCACTGCGTTGCTCTTTTATTGCTTTGGCATGTTATCATCGGCTCGGCAATCTGTAGACGCTTGTTGCCTATAACGCGGCATCTACTTATCCTGAGTTGAGTTCTAGATGCTGCATGCTTACAAGATCATTTAGTCTAGAAGGGAACATTTTTCACGTTACGGTAGAGATAAGTTCCCTATTGCATCGCTGCAGCTCAAGACTCCAGTGCTCGTGGAAATTTATGTTCCGAAATCTCCTGATTCATTTTTACAAATGAGTGTCGTTAAACCCATGCAATTGGTGTCGTGAGCCAGATCTGTGACGCTTAAACCAACCTACTACCGTTCTGTTTCGTAGAATTGCCCTTTTTTCGCTTTCAAAGATAAGTCCTTACGATGAATTCGGTGAGTTTCCTGTCGTATCCTTCTGTCCTACTCTTTACTCCAAGGCATCACATTAGTATCAAAAAAGCCCAGTGTTCCAACCTATTGAACCTTTTACTAACCCTGCGGCTGTCACATGAAGAATTGACTGGCTCCGGCTATAGCCATTTGATCACTCATCCTGGTGCATGTGCACTTGGCTACGCGGAATTTGCGGATACATTTCGGAACTTCACGCAATTTCGCCACCATTACATCACTCAAAAACTTTTCCCCTTCTCGAGCGACTGCAAAATTAATCTGCTTTCCCGATGGCTTTAATTGTGTAATTTGTGCTAATACATTTCAATTTCCTATCTGCTACGCAAACATCAGAACTAAATCCTACTTTCGCGTGCGCACAGTGCAAAATTCATGCGTGGACTGCGTGAATGACCTTTACTGTATGCAAGAGCGCTCTCGCGTCTGTGTACTTTTAACTAGGGGGCTTGCCTACGTTCCGCTGCGCCTCGCCGATTGGGCTAGTCCGCGCGCGAGCGAGCGAGCGAGCGAGCGAGCGAGCGAGCGGCATTCGAGACGCACGCGCACGCATCCATCGATCGCGAAGGCTGTTTGCGCGATCTCGTGCGCGTGCGCGCGCGTGCGTGCGTACGGCTGTGAGGTTGTATCCGCGTCGCCGTCTCGCGTATACGACGGCGGTGTCGACGGCAGCTGTGTTGTCCTCCCGCCGGCCGCCGCCGTCGTCGTCGTCGTTCGTGTGTGTGCGCGCGTACGCGTTATGCTCTCCGCTTCCATGTGGTGTTAATCAATGCTACCCCATTTTCTCCATACCGCGTGGTGGTGTTGTCTAGTGCACACACCAACACGCCCTGGCTCTATTGCGAGCATTTGCGTTCCTTCGCCGTATTTGACCGTCTACCCCACCCATTCCGCTCTCGGAAAGTGCATGCTCTGAAGGTCCAAGGTTGTCATTAGGCGGACGAATGTGCACTTAGCATATATCATTAAATATTCGGAGTTTTCACGCGGCGGATTGAGATAAATTATCACGACAAAAATTTATTGATCACTGAATCCGTTTTAACGTGGTGTACAATCTGTTGATAGTAAAGTCGCTGCAACTTTCGCGTCGTCCTCTGTGCAGATTTGTCTCAAGTCTTAGTAACCCACCAGTGATCCCTAATTATTAGCCGTATTTTTATTAGTGATCTCTTAAGCAAAGCCCGTAATTGGTGTTCCTGGGGTTAAACATGTCCAAATTTTAAGCGTCCGTAGGTTATTGAAGCTTGCATTCCCTGGCATACACTTAGAGCTGTGGCTTTTGGTGCAGTTTCATTTTGGTCAGTCTTGAGAATAAATGCTGATCACAGTCGAAATTCTGTCGCTGAACTACAACTTCAATTTATTTGTACTTTGACCAATAAGGAAACACGTACTCAAGTTCTACACCAGGTGTAAACATTCAAAATTGGCTCTAATACGGTGGGATTGTGCTTTTATTCTATTTTTGGCCGTACCGATGAGGTCTAAGATGCGTTTTAACGGGAAACAATTGTTTTTTTTTGTGGATACACATTGCACATTAAATTTACCCATCCAAAATAAATTGGCAACTATTTCAGCACCTCCCAAAATCATGTGGTACTTTGGTATTGCGTATGTAAATGTCTACTGCCTATAGTCAGTCGGACTTGGGGCCTGCCGTAGTACCTAGGTCCTAAATTTTAAAGTCATGTCCATCTTCCTGTTTTCTCTATTATCCCTCTTTCCATCTTATTTCCCACTACGATTTAAGACAATCATCTATTTGCTGACATTTTTGAGTCTTTTCCAATCATTAGTTAACTTTGGTGTCGGTCAAAAGATTTATTTGGTACAGCTTAATATTACGTCTGTCTATCGTTTTACGGTTCGTAATGCGCTTTGGGCTTTTGTTCTCCCTTGTATATTAGACGATCAGTAGTTCCAGGTTCGGCTGTGGTTGGTCTTCTGAGTACTTAATTAAACATTGTTCACCTCTGTGCTGACAGTGTTTTTCCCCACTGTCCAGGGTCGCACTGGGGTGATGGTTTGTGCCTGCCTAATGGAATTACAGGAGGCCCAAGATGCCGAGGAGGCGTTACGCATCTACGCCGAGAGACGGACGCGCAACGGCAAGGGTGTCACCATACCCAGCCAACGACGATACGTCCAGTACTACAGTCGCCTCCTTTCCTCCGGTCTCGCCTACGAACCCAAGCCCCTCCGCCTCACATCCATCCGAATTGAAGGGCTCCCCCACCAGCTACACGGTGTACAGAGTGAGTCTCCTTCGTTCGAATAGGCATGCATAACTTGCGTTGCTCGGAAAGCTTGTCGCTCTTTTAGTAAGTGTAGTTTCCATGTCTGATGTAATCACAGTGACTCAGAAGTCTTCGGTTAATTGGCCTTGATTTCAACCAGAAACGTAAAGTGCTTTAGCGTAGAAATCGTCGTTGAGGGACGATCGCGCCATTAGGCTACCTGGACGTGCTTTCCATTTGTGTGTGTGTGTGTGTGAGCCGACATTGGCACTTTAAAACAGTGTGAGCGCTGAGAACACGACACGGGTGTTATTTAGTACGCAACACTTTAGGTCTGTGCATGTCTGTGTTTGATTCCCATTTCAGTTTCCCATTAGTGAAGCCACCTTTACCTTCTTGTGTGTCTGGCACAAGCGATGCATTTATTGCTGATGGTGCTTTAACCCAAATTATGGAATTGAAAGTCAGGGGCAATAAAAGGTAACTTCTTTTGTAGACTTCGAATTAAGCATCTCTACGTACGAGAAACGATTGTCGTGCAACCACAATTCCGAATCCGCGTCCACGGACGTAACATCCTCATCTTACCCCCACACTCAGTTCCACCATAACCACTCCGCTATGTACGCCACGATCGATCACAGTCCAGACTGCATCTGCCATTGTCATTCAGAGGTAACTACCTACCAGATCCCGTGCTCCACGCATCATATTGATGCGGAAAACTACCTCATCCGCCTCGACGAGCCTGTGACAGTTTTTGAGGATTTTCGGATCAAGATCAAAGCCAAAAGCGGGGTTTTGGCAAAAAAGATAGGTCAATGCTGGCTGAACACATTTTTCATCCTTGACAACGGGGCCGCCACCTTTCCTCCGGCTGATATTTCAAACCTGGCCACCGGGATCTTCTCCATGTCTGACTCCAATTCGGGTTCTTCCTCGTCATCGGAGTCCTCTGTTTCAACTTCCTCCTCCACATCTTCATCTGTGAGGGCGTCACCACCCCGATTCGCGAGAGATGTGGATGCGGAGGAATGGCCTACGCTTACTTCGAATCCCTTGCTTCTCCAGTCCCCTGCTTCCGAGGATTCAGTGTCATTCCAAAGGAGTTCCAGCTCCCTCCGGTCCGGCACATCCAAGACCGACGTGTCAGCGGCTGTTAATCTTATCCCCAAAAGGGAAAACGCCGGTTACGGTGTCAGTATAACCAAAAAGGTTAGTTTTACTAGGACTATGACGTCGGTGGGAGACAAGAGACGAAGATTAAGTGAGGCCCTGGCTTGACCTACTCTTTGTCATAGAAGTCTCAGTTTTCGAGCGGCAAACCGTTGGCTTTCATTGACAAACTGCTGTCCAGCGCAAGAAGTGTACTGGCTCTTTGCTGAATGATCGCACCCTTGTTCCATTTCAGACTTCTCCAAGCTCCAACATGGTCTCTCCTTCCCTATCCACCCAGTTGGCCACTCCGCTGGCGGTGCACATTCTCGAGCTTTCTCAATCCGAACTGGATGCCGCCTTCAAGGGCAAAAAGGGAGAGGCTTTCAAGGTGTGTGTGCATGTGTGTGTGTGCGCGCGTAAAAAGACCAAATCGCCGAACGCGCGTTACACCGTTGCGTGGAATTTACTGCTGTCGCTGCACCACGGCATGCTTTCCCCTGTACTTTAGTGCATAGTTATTGGTGCTGACTTTTGCAAGGACCCTTTTACAGTAGGTACAAGGCGACATAGTATCCACAGTTCCGTCGCACCAGTCTACGGGAGTATTTATGTGGCACTTCCAATAACAGCCCATGGGACAAGTCTGGGTCAGGTTAAAAGTACTTTTTCATCACAATTATCCTGTGTCTTCAGGGCAGAACTTGCATTCAATTCTGTTTTTTTCCGTTTCCCGCAGGTGTCGTTCGAGTTTGTCCGTGAAGTGCATTGCCATCAACCCATAACTGGCGCTCCTCATTCCAATTTTATTGGGCCCCATCCTCGGCGTCATTACCCTGTCCCCCCATTGGGCGAGACATCCATGGACTTGGATAAGGGAGAGCAAATGACCAGCACCCCCTTAAGCCAGGGACCCACTCTGCTTCCTATGAACCACCTCCCTCCCCACTCCTTCCACGCCCCCCCGCAAGCACCGACAAATCAAACCAACACCCTGGCTCCTCAACAGACCGTTCACTTGGTCTCGTAGTCATGTGTTGCTGTCGCAGGCGTTTGTACATAACAATAGGAAAGGAAACTTGTCTTTCAGTCCCCATAATCTTCTTGCCTTCTTTCATTTGCACATCCCTCCCGTGTGTTTCACTCGTGTATCCCTTCCCTATTTATGCAGCCTCAATGTAAATAATTGTTTTTGGTTGCAAATAGGTACAGCCACACCCAGTCAAATGACTAATGTTATCATCTGTCTCTTTGTCTCCGCAACCACTTTCTTGATTAAACCTGAAATGCGTGTTTATCGTTAGTTTCGGATGCGATGGTGAACAAGCGATGTCTTAGAAAGTTGTTTTTGTCAGCGTTGGGATAGGCAATGTCCCAATAGTCCTTTAGATGGTCGGCAAATGAGCTGTTTCTATCAGAACTAATTCCAAAAATTTAAATTTCTGCTCTGAGCTGAAATGTATTGGTGGTGGTATTTTCTCAATGTTCAGGTCGGCACAACCTGATTTGATAATCAAAAAATCTGAATTCTCGGTAGTCTGTCGTGTTTTCTGATTTTCCAGGTCAAGTCATTCTCCGTAGGGTTATTTGAGGTCAAGTCAAATGCCTGAAAACCTGTACCTTCAGCCGAATGGTTGCAGTTCCTGTCCTCAAAGTTCGGAACAAATTCTAACAAAATGAAGACTGTCTTGCTGCTTTGACGGGGCATTTCGCCTGAATAATTGTTATACTTAAATCAATTTGAAACCATACTTAACTCATCTACAAATATCCCTTGATAATATACGCGCGAAAGTTCCATAATTCGCGAAGCTCACAATCGTTCGTGAAAGTGTTGAAGCTTTGGAATGAGTTGGAAAATTTCGGCAGTGGGTTTGATACAAAAATTAAGGTAAGCATAGTGTTGACTTGGCCATTTAGATTTACTCTTCGCCTTAAATTTGTTGTGGGCCTCGCCATATGAGCTCAAACCACGCCAGAAATTGGGCCACTGCGTTCAGTTTATCCCCAGATTACACTACCTTGACTCCCGCGATGATGAAGAAGGCCGGAGAGGAGGTGGACAATCATTCACTAGATAACTCAACCAAGTTAAATCCCACAAATGTGCTTACACCGAGACCCGGGTGAGTGTTACTACACGTAGTGATATTCCAGGGTAAGCATCCCCATTAATCCGGCGAGTTAGGGTTCCCCTATGGCTATAAAGGGGTTACATCGTGTCGGAGACTGGAGCAACCGGATTAATGCACATGAATCAATGAGACTCAAAAAAATTCAATTTGATCAAAGCGCTAACTTCCACACTTCCTCATCGACATTTTCTTGGACTCATGTTGCTTTGAAATTAACCAATTTTATTGATTTTGTGGTTATCTATAAACGGTAGGCAATCCGTACAAGCATATTCTTTGCTGGCGTGATGAATGTTTTCGCACGGTGTCAAGACGGAAAGAATTCCCACATTACCCTCTCATATCTGGTTTCGGCGTGAAAAGTTGACCATGTCAAGGCGAGAGTGGGAAATTTTCCACCTGTTCCACCGCACGGCACTTTATGCGGCGAAGTAAGTCCTACTACACCTAGATCGCATCTGAGGCTTTAACCAATTTCATGGAAGGTTAACATGATATCGCGTCAGTAATAATATTAAAACTAGAAAGAGCAAACCAGTAGACTAGATGATTTAATATCGTGAAACCCACATTCTGCCGAATTCCGCTACTCGGCAGCAGTTCTAAACCCAATCTAGATGATTTGTTTGCAATGGCCTGACATTCCGAAGGGCAAAACACAGATAAAAGGGGATTGGTCGTGTGAAGTACTTTCTATGTAGGTGATTACCCTTAAGGCTTTATTTCGCCTGGACATTACATTGTGGAGAACACTGGAAGTGCAAGTGGTAACTAAATATCTTGGTGATTGCTAAAATGCCACTTTCACTGAAAATAACCTTACAGACAACTAATTTTCTGCCACAAGTCAGAAGTTCTTGAATCTTCATTGCTGCACACCACATTCCTTAAGCCCTTCCATTTCTTAACGCTGCTAATTATTTTTAGTTTTCTTCACTTCGCACGGTGTACAACATGGTTGCTCTTCTGACATGTTTTTTATGCAAAAGTATTAGTCTAAGCCAGTTTAACGAATTGCCCCTTTAGTACGCAAATTAGCACTATCACTCACAATTTAAACCTCTTATCATAGGCAACGAAATGCACCACACAACCCTCCATGCCTTTAATCTGTTCTGCACATAGCAAAAGTTACACAAGTATCAACAAAGTCCTATATGTGGTAGTGGAGAAGTTCTTCGAACAAGCGATGCCAACCCAAGGTAGAATTAAGATATGCTTTAGAATGCTATCTGCTCAAAGTTGATGTCATTTGACACAAATGTCAAAATCAACAAAAAAGCACGTGAGTTTAAGTTCTGCCTAGTTTAAATATTTTGATTCGAGAGGTTTTGAGAGAAATTGTCGTTGTCACTTAGTTGATCTATTTGACAAAAATTCTAGGGCAGGAGAGGACGTTTTATTGGGAAAATGAGGAGGTGAATATTAGTTGTGGACTTTTACTCTCCCTAACCAAACACATGCAGTCGAAGTTTTCAAGGCGAAACCAAGATTTTCAGTGATTTACTGCGATTATAAAAGGCATAGTATGTTGAGGACATCCAGGTATTTTGAGTTCTATACGGCTGATACTAAGCTTAAGGTTACAATAATTTTTGACGTGGCAATTTGGTGACCCTCGTGCATACAGCTAGTCTTATCGAGCAAACACCCAGTTGTGGGCTAAACATTTTTATGACGCTTTCAGACTCCCAGGTTTACCTACCGCTTTGATTCTACAGGCTTTGTGTCCTTCAAAAGGGGAATATAATCGAGAATCCCCTTTGATGATTACACGCGATTCCATAATTCCTGTTTACCAGCTTTCTTTATAATGCGAAGTGTGCGGTTGCGAATAGTTGATGTAGACGTAGGCGTCGATCCGTCAATGACCGTCTGAGTCTTATTCTGCCTGGTGGGGTCCACTCTCGTTCGCCCTCAAGGTCTACGCTCCGGAATTCTCGCGTAGTCTTTAAAAAGGTGAAAAACCAACACTTAGTAGGATGTGTCGTCCCCATTTGTGACAGTGTCGCAGATGCAGTCGACTATTCTACTAAGTCCGGAAATTGGGCTATGCTCTTAAAAATTGTGCCACCCAAGTAAAAAGATTGACCATTAGGCAATAAATAGAATCATAGTTAACGATCCTAGCTTTAGGTGTCTCTGAACAATACTTTGTGGTAGTTTAAGTAATCGTTTGAATTATTCCGCTTTCCTGCATCATCTAGTGTATTAAATCTATAGCAAAAGTTATAGACGATGTCAAGATTACTCCTGCCTTCAGGAAACAAGGACAGAATTCCAGTGATTGACGTTTCTTCCGTCATATTCTTGATTTTGCTAGGTCGACTTAGCTTATTAAGCTGAAAATTCTGACTGTAGACCTATCCTTGATCCACTATGGTCCTTGATGTAAGCACTAACTTTAATTTTGTTTGCTTCTCCTTAAAGTTATTCATGAGGAAACTTCAAACTGAAATTGTCCTCGTTTATTAATGCAAAAAGTTGTTTTTTTTCGAATGCATTAACTATGAATGCACTTTGAATTTTAGTTCACTCTCACTTTTCCGTGTTGTTTAAAAATAGTTTATAGAATCCTAAAATAACATTTTAAATAGAATGACTAGTTAATTATTCCAAATAACAAAAGGGCAAACTTAAAATAGCCCATATAATAATAATAATCAGTTGACACTACGCATTTTTCGGATAACACAGCATAAACAAAGGTCGAATTTCTTGTATCGGTAAAAATTGGCTGAATTTGGAAACCTTCAAAGACATTCACTTAATTTTGGTAGTGAAATGTCCAGTATGTGAATGAGCGACTGGACAATGTTTCTTATGTATGTCTGTTATGAATGAGATTTTCCAGAAAAAATGGAATTTCCTGGGAATTAAAATTTAGACAAAATGAATTCGTCATTTGCCGACCTAACGTACCATCAGGAGCCCGTATTTAGTCGTTTAGAGCTAATTTTATTTTGCTTAACAATAATATTGCCATACCTTTATGCCTTTCTCTCACGAAACACAGGAATCACTGAAATGATATATTGCAACTTACAATTTGGCATTTTAGCACTTTAACTAGAGCACCTTTTCAGTGGCTAATTAGAGTGAGTATCCCCAGTTGAAGTTGGCAACTTTCATTTTGCATTGCTGATACAACACTTCAAAGAAATTCCTTATGAGAGTTGACGTTTATCCCAATGCACAGACTAAAATTCAAGGAAAATTACAGCCTAGAGTAAAAATGTACTATTCTCTAAAGTTGTTTGGCATTAAGTGTCTTTGTGAAGCTTGTGGGCTTCACGTTGCAACAATTAACTGGGTTTAATTTTAATTTCATACAAACGTAGAAGTTGTTTTTGAATCAGTATTAGGCGTGTGCGAT